ATTTTCATCAGAAACCAGTCAGTTTCAAGACTTGAGAGTGGGCTCTGTGTTCCTGCTTATGATGAAGTCATTTGTGCTGCAGATCTTCTTGTCTTGCTCTTGAAACAATAATGATACAAATAAGAGAGCGTGAGGCAAAGACAACATGAGCGTGTGAAAGTGACAGTCATTCTCTTGGTAAATACCAAGTAATTATTGTGGTATTGGGTAAAACTGAGCCTGTGAAAATTGGCTCTTAATTACATTTGAAAGTCTATGTCAATATGAAGCACTTTGTTGTTGTGTGCAGGATGACACTAGAAAATGGCAAAAGATGAAAGAAAAATGCAGTTCAGAGCTCTGGTGGACACGAACATCAGCTCTTGCTGACATTTCTTCCGCCTCTTGAGCCTGCTTGCCATGGCAACCTTTGTTTGCTTGCGGTAAAAGGAAAGGTATCATCATCCTTCACTTAATGCAGAATACAGCATTCAAGAGGAGAAAAAAAACCAGCTTTTAAAAATAAGTGAGAAAGCAACTTTCTTCCTGAAGCTTGTATCCTGCTGTTCATTCTAGATAAACTGCTGAAAAGTGTACCTACTTTGAATTTTAAAGACTGTGTCTGCTCTGCAAAGGAAAAGTATTTTAAGGGTGAAGCAAAATGAAACTCAGCCTATCTTTGGCCTGGCAAGGAACACTGCTGATCTGTCTTTCTTGTCAGTTAGCCGAGTAGTTCAAGAACCAAGGGTTTTTCTCCTCAAAAATATTTAGCAGAAGACTTTTGTGCCAAGTGAATAGAAGAGCCTTACAAACCAGGTTCTGCAAACACTGTAAGCCTCAGTATAAAAAAAGGTGACTTATGGAAACTGAGGAAAGGTGAAAAAGCCTATGTCTATCATGAGACATCTAAAAAGCATTTCCAAGTTCCTGGATTCAGGTGCCTTTAGGCTATGTCCCAGCTATATATCAGGAGGCAGGGCTCAGCTGGACAACAGGCCCTTTCCTATTCATCCTTATTTCTGTGTAAGGAAATTCATACAAGAGCTGTTGTATACACTGACTACGCACCAGCCTGGATGAACAGCCAGGATGCCAGGACATTCTGTGGCACTCCTCAGAAGGCTCAGGCTATTCTTGAGCCTAAGTCATTTGCCTGCCCAGCCAGGCAATATTCTATTCTCCAGAATAGTAGGGGCTTAAATTTCTGGATCTCAAATTAATGCCTTAACCTTTGGAATTTCCTACAGCCATTTTCTTTTATATATTTGTACACATTTCTTTAATATGCATATTCCTTACAGTCATAGAAAGACACTTAACAGTTTTACAAGGCCTTATCATTAAAAAAAAAAAAAAGCCATTTTCTCCACATGTTTGAAAGATTTTCATGTATCCCCTTAAATATACACTTTAATAAAAGTAATAATTAGTATTATTTCCCACATATTAAATGCAAAGGTGCTAGAACTAACTACTGTGAAGAAGCCAGGTTTAGAAAGGTTGTTTTCAGTGACTTGCCTGATGTGAGATGGAGTTAGGTCTTGCACACAGGCTTTATGTTGCCCAGCTTCATTATGAGGACATACAACTTACCTGGAAGACTTTATGAACATCACAGTAAGTTGCAGTGGTTTGCACAAATGAAAAGTATTCTCATCTGCTGGATTGCTGGAAAGGGTATTTCAGGCAACATTGTCTGATAGTATATGCCCATTATGCAGGTCTTCCGATTATGCAGGGTTCTTTAGAAGGTTGTATTCCTTGTAAAAAAAAAAAATAGGAAAAAACCCAGCTTCTCAGCAAATAGGTGATATTCTTGATTGTAAAACATGTCTCACATCTGCTGGACACCCAGGACCCGAGTCATTATATTCTAGCTCACAGGACTGTCAGGAAGCATGGGATTTTTTTTTCACTGTTACTTAGATAATATTGTGCTGAGCACGGCAGAAATAGTTTTGGTAACAAAGACATGATGACAGAAGTATCTCATCAGAGAAACTTTCTCACTGTGTGGGATTCATCTCACATTTTGTCAGCTAAAGTTGAGCATACAAGAAGGTACCTTCAGAGGAACCATTTATCTCAGTCCAGAATATTTGCCTAAAATAGATGGAATTATTGCTTTCTGGATATGCTTACCTCTCTCCACTGAATACTAAGGGACCCTGAACAATTATTTTATCTCAGATACTTAACTTTTTAGACAGATAAAGTAAGATGAATCAGATCTTGAAACTTCTTTATGTGTAAGATGAAGATAATTGTGTGCACACGCTCTTGCATCATGAGTTTTGAGAACCACAGACAGGTATGATTTCTCAGTGTTCACATATTCTGATAAGTACTCTGAGTACCCGGATACAGACCATATGCAGAATAAGGTTAAATGGGGAGATTGCCAGATTATGTTATAATTAATGGACAGAATTTCCTTCATCCCTTGCGTCCACATGGAAGTTCTACCTTACTTGACCCAAGAGGGATATTTGTTTTCCTATACTGTTCTGTATCTGTGATATTCCCCTCAGTTGTCATAATGCTGTATGCAGCAGCAGCAGCAGCTATAAGAAATGCACAAAACTGTCTCCAGCTCACCTTTGTGCTCTGACGCAGACCCTGGGGTCTACATTCCTCAAATCCCACACCAGCGGAAAGGCAGCTAAAATATATTTGTCATGGCAAGACATTTAGTGAATGTTTAGGGACTGTCTTTTTCGTGCTTACTTCAGGCTGTTGAATTTCAGCTGGGTTGTGTTCACTCACTGCTGAGATGTTGACATGTATAGAAGGCAGCTTTGTCTCATATAAATAGCTCAGCTAACTTCAGTATTAGGAGAAAGCCTGAGTTCACTGGGATCATTCTCAGGTATGAAATCTGTAGGATCAGGCCCACCTCCAGGGAAGAAATAAGACTTCCCAAATATTTAAACAATTGTTACAATTAGTAAGTATACACAGGTCTTCAGCAGAGGGAGGATAGCATTTTGATGCAGCATAAGAAACATCACTCCAAAATTAGCTTGTTGGCACTGAGGATATTTCTGAGCCATACCTATTAATATAAGCCACTGTATTCATTGCAGTGTTACGTGCTTGGCAGAGGAGGATTCACACGACAACTGCTCAACTTTCAAAGTACCTAAAAACTCCGTCTTGCATATGGACACCCAAACCCACTGAAATTTATGAACATGTGTTTACAAACTGTTACTTAGAGTTCAAAAGGGCAGTTTAGAGCATGTTTCATCTGCCTGTTCTAGAGGAAAACCATAACAAGAATTTGCAGGAGCTGCTATTCTCTTGTGAAATTAACAGATCAACTGATACAAAAAATTCCTCTATTTGTTGTCACAGAGTAGCCAAGATGCAATCTAAACTCATGTTTTGGGAGTCAAAGGGCAATTTGGAAACGGCGTGTGACTGTTCCTTTCACCTGTGTGTTTTTATGAAGAAAACGTACATAACTAATACTTTGAAATGCAGTTAGCTATACTGAATCATAGCTCTCTTGCTTTTTCAGCATTCTTTCTCTTTTAGCCACAATAATTGACTTGCCCAGGGTAACTCTAAATATTAAATGTGTTATAATTATGCATGTTGCTTGACAGAAATGAGAGCTGACAGTCAGATTCTGGTGGAAGTTAAATGTGTGGAAATCCAGAGTAATAGAAGTCAACAGTTACTCTGCCGTTGTTACTGGTTGTAACTGTTTGATCGGTGCCTGGTTCAAGAGCCTTTTCACATGCATTTAGGTCTGTGAGTCCAGCTTTCTAGCACTGATTGCAAGGCTGGTGCCTAAACTGAACAAGCATAGAGATTAAAGAGAGCAGACAGAGGCATCAGGAAGGAGGAGACCAAGATCAAATAGAGATTCCTCCCTTGCTGTCACACATATTCTTAAAAAGCATGAGGTTGCGCAGTTTCTTATACGCGCTTTCTGTTAACAACTTCGCAGATTCATGCGGAAGAAAATGTTGCTTTTCTTCTTCTGGAAGGTCTTCCTTTTGAACCTTCCTTCAATTTGTCCCACAGGGAAGTGCAAGCGAGGCCACCCTGATTTCGCTGCTTGCTGCAAGAACAAAGTCTATCAGACGGGTGCAGTCAGAAAAGCCTGAGCTAACAGAAGCAGACATCATGGGCAGGCTGGTGGCCTATGCTTCTGATCAGGTGAGTACCTCTCAAAAACATGGAAACAAAGGGTCTCTACTCAACAATTTCAGCCATCTCAATAGGCAGGTGAATTAAGTATAAATTCTTTGGATTGGTGACTATTTGGTTTTGCTTGTTTAAATCTTACTGTGCAACATAAGGGGGCTGGAATCTCATGTGTGCTGCCATTATACAAAGAATAAATGCCCAGAGGTCAGTGTTACAAAGTATTGCTTCTTTACACAAAGAGCTCATTTGAAGTAAAGAAAGACACATGCATAAGGGTTAATTTCGGTTGTGTTGAGTAAGTCTAGACCACCTCTTGTTACATCTAGGCTTGTGTCCGTGTGTGCACACATTATTTTCCTCCTATATACACATGTGCAAACAAACACATATATATCCCCTCCCTCTACGCGTGCATGGGTGCAGGTGCGTGCACACAGACAAACCTAGTGCGTGGATATAAAGCAAATTGGTCATAGTACTTGAAGAAGCCCCAAACTTTTTTTTTTTTTTTAAAGAAAAAAACTCCTAAAATCTCCATGTATCAATACAGCTAAGAAATCTTCTAAGAAAACAATCCTTGATTTCTGACTGTGAGTGGTATTTAGCAGACTGAGTTAGGTTAAATTCCCAGCAGGCCAGGACCACGAGAGGCTTTTAGTGTTAATGAAAGCAAATTTTAGTCTTGTGAGTTCTGCTGCTCTTACCTTTCTGACACACTAATCCTACTGAAGGGCCAAGCAGTGTTGCTTCTCTCAATAGCTATGACATTTTCTCATCTAAATGTCAATGAGGTAGATAGAAGAAACTTCTTAGTCCTTGATGTTTACTTTAAAGTAATATCTGATTATGCAGAATAGGATGGCCATGTTTCAGGCTTACCTTGATTTACTGCTAAGTGTATGTTAAAAAGCACTGGAGAGCGAGTTCAAAGTACACTTGTTCTTTGCTGGTGGGAAGGGGGCCTACACTGGTGGGGTGAGAAGACTCAGGACAAGAAAATACGAGGTAAGATAACTGTTTTCAAAAGGCACAAAGGGTATTTGTCCTTTTTTTTGTCTGGGACCCTAAGGTCTGTGTTGTGCAGACCGCCAGTCCCAGAGCTCAAACCCTGACCCAGTGATGCACAAAGCCTTTTATTTGTTTTCATTTTTGGTCCCATGTAAGTGGCTGACCTGAAATGAGGACTGACAAGCCTTCCTGCCTACTGAAGGTCAGAGGATTTTATGTTTACAGGAGGATTTGCCTTAAGATATTGCTGACCTTTCAAAGCAGATTGTTGCAGAGCTCACCGGTCCTTCTGCATTAAGAACAGACCTGTGTGACTAAGAGGCAATAATCCACAAAAGAAAGTAAGCCTAAGCCATTCTGGGGGAGAGAAAACCATGCACTGACAGAGCATAACATTGCAAGAATGCATTAGGAGGGAGGTAAAGAGCTGGCTGGTAAGGAGACCCAGAGCAGAAAGCTGAACTCAGATCTCGTATATCTTGGGAGATCATTTTAGCTTCTCAGCATTTGGAGAAAGTCTTTATGCCGTTGAAATAATTTTGCTTTGTGTTAATGAGTACAGAGCAGGACTGGCAAAAAAGCTTTCCCCAATAACTGCTTGGGGATTTGGAGACAACAGAAGAGGATCCCTGTCTTTTTTAGTGCCTGGGCTACCCTGGCTGAGGCTCCTCTTGCAAGGGACGCTGAATGTGAGACCTCAGGGCTGAGAGAAGCATCCAACCACCCCTGATAGTAGACACCTGACTGTTTGGGACCAGAACAGAAGTCAGGGTAGTTTTCTGATATTCTCAAATTTTCTCAGGCCATTTCCTTCATTGGCCTTTTTTGGCCATGTTTATTTGGCTACCTTAAGCAGCTGCCCACTCATTTCACTGATTTTTTCGTTCCTTGCTCTGCTTAAGGATGGTGGGAAATTCCCGAGTACTTGGCTGAGGACTAGGGATTCCATGGAGCAGCAAGTCACTAAAGATTTGTTATAACGCAAAAGCATCTTGGCAGTTTTACCCTTAAGATTGTGAATGGCTGTAGTTACCAGCCTTACTACAATTCTGGAGATCTGAGGAAGGAATCCTGAGGTTCTGACTGGCTGACAACCTCAGTGTGTTATTACTGTTTGCTTATTTACTATTCTTGTATAAATCAGTTACAAGTTACCTCTCTCCGTTGTACACTTTAATGAAGTATGGTATTGCTATGGTACACACACTTTTTCAAGTCTAGATTTCTACATTTTCTCAAGCTGGTGCCTAATTAGTTTGGGAAAGTACTTTAACAAGAGGCACTGCTGAGATACAAGTTAGTAGTCAACCTGCCTTTAAAACACACCACTTCAGGCATATGTGAAGTTGAAAGGCAGAAACTTCATCTTCATCTGGTCTTGCTCAACCTATGTTTTGGCTTAATCTTTTCCATGATTATATGCTAAATTAGAATAGAATTAGTAAATGCTCTTGTAGGCACTAGCAAGAACCAACAAGGATAGGATTGAGATTATGAATCAGAATAGTCAAGATATGAAAAGGTGAGGAATTTTTCTCTTTCGAATTAATGACAATTCATGAAATTGTAGAAGGTGGGAGATAAAATAGCTTTTTTTGTTTGTTTGTTTTAGTCATGCTTTGAAGACAGTATTTTGTGGCTAAACATACCTTTTACTGTAAATAGAGTTATTATAGTATTGTGCTTCACAATTTTATAAGAATTTCTTAGTCATATCTTTGTTTTTATTTACTGAGTTATACTTTCTCTTCTAAAAGATATTATTTAAGGGGAATTCAAATAAAATGATTTATAAATAAAATAACATATTGGGAACGATCCTTAACTGCCTACCAAAATGATTGAATGGATGATTGAATGGCAATTTATTCAGTAGGTAATCTAAAAAAAAAGGTAATGTAAGAAAATATCTCAGTCTATCTATACCATACTATGATGTAGGGTTCAGCAAAGCTGTATGCCACAAAAATATGCTAGTGAGCAACTGAATCATTATCAGGCAAGCTGATTATCTGCATGTCTTTTGCTTGGTTTGGAGCCAAATCCTGAAGCTCTAAATCAATCCTACCTAATTGTGAACACGTTAATTAAAGCTCTCACTAAGGTTAATTGAACTCTTGTCTGAATGATGCCATGGCAATGGTTTCAAGAATACTTCAGGGTTTCTATTAGTGGTTGTGTGTGTGTGTGTCTATCTATATGGAAGAGGGAGAGGTATGTATCTGTTATGTACCAGCAACAGTCCCAGGATCTCAAGTATTGCTTTACTTGAAAGAAATGACTTTTTGTTGTCAAATTCAAATGAACTTCTTACATTCTGATAAAAGGTATCTGTCATAAAACCTGCCCATTTCCTTGTAGGCTCATTCATCAGTGGAAAGGGCTGCGTTAATTGGTGGTGTGAAGATTAAAAATGTTTCTTCAGATGATACATTTAGTGTTTGTGGTTCAGCCCTAAAGAAAGTTTTGGATGAAGACAAAGCTTCTGGTCTTATCCCGTTCTTCGTGAGTAATGGATTTTAATTTATCAGTGGATTTATTGCTTCTGATAAGCTATTTTTGTCATGAGTAGATGATCTCATCCCTAACAAAGGGATCGATAGGCAGCCTAGCTAGAATACTAGGACAGGTTCCATAAGTGTTCTTCACACACCTTTCTGCGCAGTACAAGCAACTCATTTGAGCAGCTCGTTGCTCTTCTCAGCAAAAATGATGTTTTAAAAGGACTTAAAGTTATATTAGACAGCTGAATAAATGCAGGTGAATTTTGTAGTTGCATGTAATCCTGCAATGTTATGATCTCCTAACACTTGAATTCTGAACTCCCCCTTTTACAAAGATATACTTCTATTTTTCAGGTTCTAACTTACTTACATGTAAAACAAGTTTAAAGGCAATAAATTAAATTATGGTGTCTCAAACTTATGTATTTTCAAGAAAAAATAGTTTCTCCTCCTCACTACCTTAGCAAAGAAATCAATGTCCATAACATACCCCAAATATCAGCAAAATCAGACATTTTCAGATGGGTATTTGTATGTGACTTGTCTCTAACAGGTGAGCTATAGGGAATCTGGCTGTGGAAGTTTTAAGGTGTCATCTCTTCTTGTTACCTGTCCACTTTCCTTTCCAGAGATTCCTGCTTCCTCAGCCATCCAGCAAAAGCAAATGTTTCTATCTCAGTAGCTAAAGCTCATAATCCCCCAGTTTTTGACACAGAACAGTGTTATATTGGATACAATTCTAAAGTTTGGTTCTACTGTGATAAGTACTTGATCAAAAAGGATATTTGCTTATTCATCAGATCCACTCCTCCTGTCAGTTCAGAACACCATCTTACTATTTCAGGTTAAAACAAGATTTTACCATTTGTTTTTACATATGTTTGGAGTAAGTAAACTCTGTTGTGGTTTTGTACATCATCAACAAAATTTTTTTGCTCATTTTCAAGTATTATTTCTCTACAAAACTTGATATAGACCATGAGCTGTATAGACCTATAAAGGGTTATCATATGCTACCAATAGCATGTTTTTACTGGCCTACACTGAAGAAAAATTGGACGGGGAAAAAAAAAGCCTGTTGTAGAAACTAAGAACTTTAGAAATGGGATTTTTTAAGAAAGTCAAAAATATGACATTTTTTTCAGAAAAGTCATGTCTGGCAACGATTTTTTCTTCTCTTTCATGTGGTAACATTTTGAAAAGGGCTAATGTGACTTAAATTTCTAGTAACTGTTTTCAGAAGAATTAGCAGATTAAGCTTGCTTATAGCCATGGATAAGTGCCAAACAGGAAAAAGAAGCTTAAATTTCACCAAGCTCTTTTGAAAATGTAATCTTTTTACTCTTCGTGTTAGTAACCTTTAGTGTCTGTTTGTATGTAGCATGAGGATGACTAGAGTGACAATTGTTTTTCAGAGGTGCAGAATGCTGCTAATTTCTAGCCTGTCTAGAACTAGTGAGTCCTTGAGATGAATGCTGCCTGAAGGAACTTTCTTCTGTGGGCTGCACCTATGGAAGTGGAGTTGTGCCATAAAGCATGTTTTATTTCTCTGTTATATGGTACCAGCTCATAATATCTTACATAAGATTCTATTTGTTTATGCTACTGTTAATTTTAAACAGTTACAAGTACAGCACTATACCACATCTCCATGCCCTAATTACAAATTTAATTTGTTTTTTCCTCACCTTTTCTCCATTAACCAAAAAAAAATGCAACTTGCCCCTCATAAATATTCACTCCTCATTATTTTTTCTATGTGTAGCAAGAAGAAATAAAAATTCTGGTTTATGCATTCAGTGACACCTTTACAAAGGGTGATTTAATGGTTGTTTTTCTTCCTCTGTTTGCTTAGCTGGGCAAAACAGGCTTTCAAAGACAGTAGAGGCTCAGTCTGAGTTAATATGGCCTGTGCCAGGTCTTCCATTTATTTGTATACATAAAACATGTCAGCTTAGATTAAACTAGATCTCATTATCCTCATGGTTGGCCTCTTAACTCAAAAGGTGTGTTAATTCTCTGTCATGTGGAGCAGCAGTCCATGCACTGTATTAGTGCTCCCTTTTCTGGTTTGCAGATTTCAAAAGCCTTTCCATTTCTTTTGTTCTTGAGTAATTTGGTGCTATTTTATTTTGTTCTGGTGACAAAGATATGCACATTGCCAAGGAAACACCTTACACCACTTTATTCCTTGTCTCCCCGTATTCACTGATCCTTCACTAAGGGGAGTGATTCAACATCAAAGCAAAAAGTTCAACGGAAGAAATTCTGCCTGAAGAGACTTGCGACAGCAGAGAGATCATTCCTAATGAAGAGATCTTGGTTGCATCCAAGCTGATGCAGTGTCCCTTATCAGCAAAAAAAAAAAGTTTTGTAGGGGATTAAAAAGATGAAAACAAATTACAATGCCTTATAGGCATGATTCTCCTCTTATATTTAATGAATAGGTGAGGAATCATTATACTGAACTTGATGCAAGTGTTTTGCTTGTAGAGGTGAGTGGAGAATCAGGGGCACGTTTGCTTGATGTGAAACAGGTTCTCTCCTTGCAACAATCTGGTAATTATAGGTTTGCTTTTCACATACATAAGATTTGATTTGGCAGTCAGTCTTTGGGAGGGGCGTTGTCTTTAAAACAAGTCTTTGAATTCCTATCCACCGTCAGTATCTTTTAGCACTAGTAATGTGTGTGTCATTTTGTTCAGTGAAGGCTATTGCCAATTAGCGTACCCAGACCTACTTTTGTTTCCTTTTTTTTATTTCTAAGTTCAGACTTGTGTCAATTTGTCTCTTTCAAAATACTTTTGCAGAAATTGAAACAGAGATATTTTCATAGAGTAAAGCAAGCAGACTGTGCAAACAAAGCACTTAGCCATGTCAGGTGTTGAGGCACTAAAGTTGACACAATTTACTGAGGAACATTTTTCCAAGTGTGGCTGATAGGCAGCCCTTCAGCTGGCTGCCAGTTAAGGGGGAGCTTTAAAGCACGTGCTGAAGTCAAGCCCATTTCATTAATTATAAATGCTAACCAGTGGTTAAGCACGTGCGTAAACGCCTTTCTCAGATGAGCCCTATGCTCCCAGCTTGAGACAGGCCTCTATGTTGGACGAATGTTGACCGGGATGCTCAAATGCGGAGACCACTAAGTAAAGCGCTGCTGGATGCAGACGTAGAGCCCACTGCATTCAAGCCTAGCTCACCTGAATGTAAGTGGCCTGTGAGCTTTATGCTGTCTTTCATAAATCAACACTGATACACTGCAGCTGGCATATATATAGTACAATATACTTCAACAGCCTCAGCTGGTATAAAGCTGCTATAACGCGATCGCCTTCCTGATGAACAAAGGCCCGGAGTGAAATCTCCCTGATTCTAGCTGAAATGACTTCTCTGAATGATGATCTGCAGGATATTAAGCAGCAGGCTGTTTGTATGTGGGCTCACTTGGAAAACAATAAATCAGAATTAGACTGACAGAGGAGCCATCTTTTCAGTGGAAGTTAACATTTAGATCCTGACCACAGATTACCAGTTGGAAGAAGCATTCTCGAGACGTGTATATCTGTCTAGGGCGATGTTTCTTAACCCACAGTTTGTGAATGATTGCTGTTTTTTGAAATACTGCGTGGTGGTTTAGTAAACTGCTGCAGTTTTCTTCAAGTCACAGACATTCTCATGAGTGCAAGCTGGCAAACAACGGAGTAGGAGAAAATAAAAATAACTCTGTCCCAGCCAAAACCAGGACATCGGAGAACATGGAAAGTTCTGTCTGACTTTAGTTAATTGCAAATTAAAACCGTTATGGTGACACTGTGCAAAATGTGTCCACATCTCTTTCAAAAGCTGTGGGAGGTCTTCCAGTTGAAAAGATTGAGAGTCATTGCTCTCAGGCATCATAAAGATTCATGCATGCTCCCTGACATAGCTCTTGATTTCAGGAAAGTAATACGAGATGACTGAGGCAAGCGTTTCAGCTGCTTTGTATTCGCAAGCAGGGCTGCGTCAAATTTGAAGTGCACAACCTGAAAAGGATAAGGCCTGCGGGCTATACTGAGCCATCAGTCCCATTTCTGTGATGCAGCCTGTCCCCCGCCCTTCGCACAAATGTGATTTTGCTGGCGTTACACTGGTTACAAATTGAGTTAGATTCATTGTGTAGTGCTGAGGTGGGGTAATGAGGGCCCTGACAAGAGCAGATGCTGTCACTTTAAGTGGTTTCTGAGAATTAAAACAAGTAGCTTTGAGGCTTAGGCACCTGCAGAGAGGACAACAAAATTATTTTAGAAACTGAGGTATACTTTACAGAATAAGCCATTATTTAAACAACTGTGCATATGTTTGAACTCATATAATCTCTCACTGAAGCAACATACTCCTTATCCTGATTAGGAGAAGAGTACTTAAACTGCAGTACGATGCTAATAACAATCATGTGTACCTTTCTGTTGTGAAATCTCCATCATTATTTTAATTGCTGGACTAGCCAAGATAATTTCACTCTAATCTTGTCAGAAAGTCTACACCATATGATCATAAAATATATGTATAAAAGCAGAGCTAAGTCTATAGTGCACTCTTTATGTGAGCATTTTCCAGTCCAATGGGTTAACCCCCATTCCAGCTCTGGAGCCCTCAGCACAAGAAGGACATGGAACTGTTGGAACGGGTCCAGAGGAGGGCCACAAAAATGATCCGAGGGCTGGAGCACCTCTCCTATGAGGACAGGCTGAGAGAGTTGGGCTTGTTCAGTCTGGAGAAAAGGAGGCTACGGGGAGACCTGATTGCGGCCTTCCAGTACCTAAAGGGGGCCTATAGGAAAGATGGGGAACGTCTTTTTAGTAGGACCAGCTGTGTTAGGACAAGGGGAAATGGTTTTAAACTAGAACAGGGTAGGTTCAGGCTAGAGGTAAGGAAGAAATTTTTTACAATAAGAGTGGTAAAACACTGGAACAGGTTGCCCAGAGAGGTAGTGGAGGCCCCATCCCTGGAAACATTCAAGGC